GCCACCTTAGGTGTATGTGGCTGGCGCCTTAGCCGATTGAGCCACAGGCGCCAAGCCCAAACAGTATTCTAATTACATGTTCGTACCACTAGTTATTGATCCTATTCTTTGGTGTTCAACACTTAGGCCGTTTCTTGATATTTGATACTATTAATGTCCAAGATAAACATTTTGAATTTTTAGGTTTTTTTTTTCTCATTTTGACTTTTTGATGTCCTTCTTAAGTTAGTTTACTAACAGGAGAATTATTGGATGTTGGAATACTAAAGCTCTTGGTTTTGATGTAAGTGACGCAAACTATTAACACGTTAACATGGAAATCACACCCGCACACTTTACCCAGACCTCGGAGCTCACGAAGCCCCCTACCGGCAGGGTGACTTATCGTAGTAGTCAGTAATATGAACAACTCGCAACAATAAAGTTACCAAGGTTGAGGAAGACACTTCCGGTAGGGGCATTCCTATTTCCGTCACGTCCTGTCTCCACCCTCCTCTACATCCCGACCGGAAATAGTGGGCCCCTGTTTAAAGCCACGTCTGTTCTGGCCTCGGTCCCGCCCCCACACTGAGGAAGTGTTTCCGGGGTCAGGGCGTTCCGGCCCGCCCCTCCGCCGGTGCCGTGCTGGAAGCCTCGGTTCTCCCGGAAGTGGCCGGGCCTCTCTGTCGGGGTCCCCTTCACCCCGCTGCTGCTGAGGGCCGCGGGGGCGGCGGCAATGGCGGAGGCGGCCCTGCTTCTGCTGTCCGAGGGGGCGGCGGAGCGGGACACTCGGGAGAAGCTGGCTCTCTGGGATAGGAGACCGGACTCGACGGCGCCGCTGACCGACAGGCAGACGGACTCGGTGTTGGAGCTGAAGGCGGCAGCAGAAAACCTGCCGATGCCAGCTGAGGTGAGGTGACGGGCGGCAGCCGGGCTTGGGCGACGGGGATAGGATGCTCGGGTGCCCTGGCAAGGACCCCGGCCTCGCCATCCTCTGCCCAGAGTCTCTCTCCTTTCCTCCTGGCCACTGTGGCGGATCCGGTGGGAGGGGCCCCTCACCTCCTTGGACTGTCCGGCCTCCTACTGCGGGCGACCCCTGCTCTCTGCTTCTGCCCCCGGACGGCTGCGGGGTCGTCCAGTGCCCGGTGCCCGCTGGCATCCAGTCCTCCCTCCGTAACATGGGACGGTTGACCTGGAGTCTTGTCCCAGTTGTCTGGCCCCAGAGGTCCCTCGTCTCAGTTAGATGCTGCCCACCGTCTCCCAAGAAGAGGCACCGGAGGTGCTTTGCTGCAAGACAGTCTCCAGGTGGTGCTCCTTTGCCATCTTAATGGATAATTTAGCCTTTTTCCGTGGGGGGACTTGAGGAGACCAAAAGTTGATTCTAAGCGACAGTTTTCATTCATTGCACATTGAGCTATGAGTTGTTGATCAAGTGAGGGCTATGGGAGATCAGATTTATTTGACCTATAGCGAAATAATAAAAATGAATTTTCTTTGAAAGCTAGTTTAGTACATTGTTAAGCAATGCTGGTTTTTAGTTTTAGTGTCAACGTTTTAATCCAACTATCATTGGAATGTTATGCAGATTACTGCTAGTGTGATTCATTCAATTAGTTATAATAGCAAGAAGTACATTTTATGAATTGTCATGTTTGACAAACTTTTTCTAGTGCCAAGATATGTCCCAAAATAATCTAGGAGGATTATTTTAGAGACAGTTATGGTTATATTCGATGTTGGAAGCATTCCTTTTACATGATTTGGAATTGTGTCCAAATGCAGATAGAGCTTAAAGTCTAAAACATTTTCAGTCCTCAAACTTTGAAGGTTTGATTCTTGTTTACTTTTGCATGTTTTGGTGTTCTTTCTTGGGTTTTTCTGTCCCTCTGTAGGTTGTTGTGCCAGAAGTGGGTCTGAAATAAATGAGGAGACAGGTGGAAATTTCTTGGGCTCAGCTATCAAACTTTTTTATACTCTGGATAATAGAAGTTTTTTGCTCCATACATTTTCCAGTCTGTTTATAATTGATGTGGCTTGTAACTGAAGCAGGATGCTTGGACTTCATAGCAGGGTAAGGGAGGGAAGATACACATATTCTACAAGTAAATTTTTTTATTGTTACGAGTCATAACCTATTATTATTTTTTGAGACAGGATGTCATTGCCCAGGTTAAAGTGTCATAACATCTAGCTCATAGCAACCTCAAATTCCTAGGTTCAAGCAACCCTCTTGCCTCAGCTTCCTGAGTAGCTGGACTGTGGGTGCCTGCCACAATGCCAGGCTAATTTTTTTTTTTTTAATTTTTGTGAGATGAGGTCTCTCTCTTGATTAGGCTGGTGTTGAACTCCTGAGTTCAAGCCATCCTCCTGCCCTGTCCTCCCAGAGTGCTAGGATTACAGGTGTGAGCTACTGTGCCTGGCCTGTTTTTAATTTTATTTTTTTTTTTATCTGCTCTACATGATCTGGAGGAAATAACCTATTGTTCTTTATTCTCCTTGAGCCTGAGGGAGAAGGTTTGGAGTGAAGTAAATGGATACTTTCATTGTCACTTCATTCTTTCATATTTATGTAGTATAATGATACCCACCATTAGCTGCATGCCAACTTCAATGTTTTTGAGCTAGGAATTGGGGATAGAAAGTTAAATAGGAAAGATGAGGCCCTTACAAGAACATACAGAAAAAGAACAAAGAAGGTAAATTCAGATAGTGATACATGGTAGAAGGAAAATAAAAAAGGATGGTGTGCCTCGAAGGGATGGGTGTGGCCTTTTAGATAAGGAGGGAGAGAAGGCCTTTCTGAGGAAGTGATAGTCTAATGTGAGAACAAATGGAAAACATGAAGCCAGCCTTGCAAAGACTAAAAAAATAACATCCCAGCGGTAGGAAAAAATAGTCATGGTAGAGAATGAGCTTAACAAGTTCAAGAATTCAGTGAGGGTCTGCTGGTGCCTGCAGTCTTGGTTTTGAAGTCCTGTGAGAATGAAATAATTCTCATGGCTCTTCATCTCTCTACAGTCCTCATTTCCCTTTACTAAAGTGTTCGAACGTCTAGTGGGAAGACTTTTGGAATTAATTTTTAATTCCTGTTACCACTCTTTTAACATTGGCCCTGAAAAAGAATACCTTGGCTCGGTGCCTGTGGCTCGGGTGGCTAGGGCGCTAGCCACATGCACCTAGGGTGGTGGGTTCAAGTCCAGCCAGGGCCTGCCAAACAACAATGACAGCTGCAACCAAAAAATGGCCGGGCGTTGTGGCATGCGCCTGTAGTCCCAGCTACTTGGGAGGC